GTTTATGTATTTATGGCGAAAGAAACGGAAAAAAATTACCACAAAATATCTCTTTTATAACATAGATTCTTTCTTCTAAATTTTATTCAAACTAAACAAATATTATAATAAAAAAGAGACAAATCTGATTTAAGAGAAGGCAAGTAAATTTTTTATGAACGTTTCAAAATTTCATATTGATGTTCTTCAACTTGAAAGAGTAAATCTATACATATATCTTGCTTATTTTCGATTTTTTATCTCTACAATTTTCTACTTGTTATCGATGTAAAAATCCCTTTTCAATTTCTGCATCTCTCTCATCATGCTATTTATTACATTTATTTTGTTGTCTCATTTTAATGTGTTGTTATACTTAATACGCTTCAAAATGTCATCCGTACTTTGTATAGTATATTATAATTATGAGATTATCTCATACAACACTATCTTAAAGAATGTCCAAAGGACATCATGAATGTCTACATTATAAGTATGTTTTCAAGATGTCGCTCGGAGAACTGTGTTCTATGAGACTTTTTAAATGAAGATACTTGAAATATTATTTTGATTTCACTTCTTTTTTTATAGCATTTTATATTTGGTTTTTTCTGCAAAATATATTTGACATTTTTTTAAACATTTCTAATGTCTTTTCCAGTAGATATAAGAAAGATAGATGTAAGAAATGAAGAATCAGAGATGTCACTATTATAGAATTTGAAAATAAAAAAGTCTGCACTACCGATTTTGATCAAGTTTAGCCTTCGGTTTAGAATTCCCTTAACTTGACCTGTTACTGCTCATGCATGAGAAATATGTAACATTTAGTTACAACTTAATTCTAACAAAATGTTTTATATTTAATATTTCTATATTTTAAGTAAATATTTACTTCTTTCTCTCTCTCTCTCTCTCTCTCTCTCTCTCTCTCTCTCTCTCTCGCTCTCTCTCTTTCTCTCTCTCTCTAAATGTCAACATATATTTATTTGATACAAAAATTAATTTATAATTTAACTATCATTTATTGAGTAAATATTTATTTGCTGTAAGTAAATGTGTATTATTCAAAGAAATATGTATTAAAATTTAGTAATTTTTCTTTCAGTGTAGAGAAATCAGAAAAGTTCGCTTTTAGTATAGTTTAAACAGAATGATTAATTATTCAAAAAATCAATTGCCAAAATTGTGAAAACTGTGTCAACGATCCTCGGTCTCTCTTAAAATTTTTGTTTAATTTCTTATCTTCTTTTCTCGTCAATATTATATCTTTTCGAGAATAGTCTACGGGAGAACGGAAGCCTCGCAGGAGATGTGACACGGCTCGCAAACGACATTGCCTCGTAAAATTATTCCTGACACTGTTCTCACGATAGTTAACCGGCAGTTAGAGGGAATACTTAATCAGAACTCCAGCTTCAGCGCGGCTTATACCCGACGGCGTCGTTGTAGATAACGATATCATTGAACTTATCCAATAATGCGGTGCTCATGCGAAGAGTGTTACAGTTACTGGAGCACGTTTATTCCTATGTGACAGTTTAGAAAAAGCGTATGAGAGATATAGAAAGAGAGAGAGAGAGGGGGGGGAGAGAGAGAGAGAGAGAGAGAGAGAGAAAGATTGTGTTTACTTACTTTAATTATACTTCACACTTCTCGATATTATCGCGATTTGTGGAAACGAGAAAATCAACAGCAGACTCAAGGCTCAAGAGAGATGCATAGAAAATGTTTTCTCGAAAGACAATTCCTAAGAGAACAAGCTCCCTCGTCAAGTTTGACGATACAATGCATCTTCTCTTATATGCACTGTTATCGATTGTTATGTCTTCGGACGCGAGCAAAGCCGTTCGATATCGAGGCCGACATGCAGGCATGCACTCCATTTCGTGGAGATAAATCCCAAAGCTTGCGATCTCGTCTATATATATTACATTTATGTTCGTGATCGGCATTCTATACGCGGATTTCCTAACATTACCTTCGCATCTTCTGAGACGACATTATCCTTGGAAAGTTTCTTCGTTATGGAATCATGTTTGATCCATGGAATTAAATACTAGTGTAACAATAGTTGTGACGGAGGCGTCTCCGTAATTGAGATTTCATTGTCGAGTACAATTGCATCGAATGGCGATACTCAAATCGACTCGTTTTATGATGATCGACTTTCCGTATAATTTTCCTAAGCTTTGAAGTCTTGCTGTAAGAGATCCATCTTACATGATATTGATATCTGATTTTCTTTTAAGTTCTAGAAATTAGAACTCTGTTGGACTTTCAAAGCTTATTCCGCCACAAATTGCACATTTCAATCTTTTCGAGCAGAGGATTTCTGTTCAAAAGGGTTTAAGAGTCAATAGAAAACGAGAGTGAAAGTAATTACACTTGAACGATGTGTTGATAGTTGCAATAATTTTTAAATTATAAGCAATTAAAATTGATCATTTGCAAGCTTCCGTTTCTATACATATAGGGACGCATTTAACTTTAATGAAAGATAAATATTTGTTTTATATATTTAGTTTATTGTACGTTTTTAAAGTACAATTAATAATAATAAACACTTAATTATTTGGAATAAATGTCATACCATATTTTAAGGATTAGGATTTCAGTACTTGATCATTTCGTATTTACATCGCGAAATTCACCGAGTTAATTATCGTTAAAATTTGTATTTACGTTTATCTATACCTGTGTTTAATCGCGGTCTTTCAACCGATAATGCATTTTGCACATCATTCGACGATTGTATTTGCATATAAACGTACGCGTCCGTCAACATAGAGATCGAGCGGGTCGCTTGAGTGATCAAAACCGTTTGATTCGGTCGAAAATTGCCTCTTTCGTTTGCGCGTGTAGCCTGTGCATTGACGCTGCAAAGGAAATGAATCAGCAACAGGACTGGCGAATCGAGGTCATACCAATGCATCTGATTCTTTACGTTGCTTGCTATAGAATAGTGCAGCGCGGATTTTTTATCTCGCAATTCGAGAACTTTAGAAGCCTATAGGATTGCCACCAAATTGGAAATCAGAGAAATCAAGGAAATGTTAAGAAAACGATCAAAATCAGAGAAAAGACAAGGAATTTTGCAAAATTTTCTAAAAAATTAAAATTCTTCATTTTTAAAGAAGGTTTTGATATGTCATACTTGCGTAGTTTTGAAATATTACACTCTAAAAAATATCAATGTGGATTTACTATCCCTGGTGTGAATTTAATACCCAAGTATCTATGTAATTCTTACTGAATTGATATTAATATTAACACCAATGTGGTGTGAATTTTAATTTTTTGGTGTTTTATATTCGACACCACCAATGGAATGAATTTAAAATTCATGTTAAATCGACATTGGTGTCAATATTGACACAGTGAGAATTACATAGACATCACCTGAGTGTTAAATTCACACTAGGAGTGTTAAATCCACGTTGATATTTTTTTTAGAGTGGCATCACTATTTTTTATAGTGTACTAACTTGACAATTAAATGCAAGCAGTGTCAGCAACATTAATAATAATTTACATTACTATGTTAAATTGCTCTTTTAACAAAATATTTAACGGTTTCGAAATCAGAATGAAGATACAAAAAATTTTGAAGTATTATTGAAAGTTAGGGAAAATCATGTCTGAAAATCAGGAAAAAGTTATGAAATTTTAGGACGAGGAATTTATAACAACTCTGAAGAGCCGCTACGGAGTAGGGCAAATTAATCAGCCATCTCTCAAGTTTTTTTTTTAAAAAGTCTCTCGAGCAGATTGTTTTCTTTCGTTTTAAATAATATGGCAATCTTTATTCATCACGATGCGAAGTGCATATCTTCTTCTAGCTTCTGACGCAATTTATGTCTTTTCTTTTATAAACACGATAACACTATCACCACAACTCACCGCAAAAAGTAGACAAAGGCTACCGATGTAAGTTAGTTAGGAAATTTATTCTGTACTCCGAATATGTACCGAAAATTCATTCATTTCACAGTATGAATTTCTATAGATCATCTTTTATTTGATTTTTCTACAGAATCGAGTTTTTCGGTCCGATACTTAAATGAAAGCAGTGAGCTTCCAACGAGCTTCTTGGAAAAATCGCTGCTTTTTCTCTAGCTCATGAATCGTCGGATTATCTCCGACCGCATGAATTACATCGGTTCTCCACTTGTTGAAGAATTTCCGCCTCGGGAATTTCTTCTACGTTTGGCTGTCACAGGAACGTCGTGCTCGAGCGAAGCATAGAGCAGGAGATCCGAGTAATTTAACGAATAAGAATCTCGAGCATTTACTTTTTTTTCATTGTTAGCGAGTACAACGGTTTTTACCATTCGAACATATCGATCGTTCGCTGATACATTACTTAATTCTCGGTTGAAAGTTTCTCCGCACACATGTTTCTCGTAACGAAATGTCGATAGAATTAACGATCTGTTAATTCAATTCTGTTGACTCCGCGAATCTTATTAAGAGTAAAGAATTGAATGATGTTCTAAAATAGGTAGAAAAAAATCTACATGAAAAAACTTTAATGTGAAAAAGCTCTAATTAAATTAGCACATTCGACATATTATCGACGTAAAGTA